ATTTCGCATCACATTCCTTTCCCTAAAGGTGTTCTCATCCAGAGTGGACTACAGTTTCGACCTCACCTAGATCGTGTCAACACCCCCAGCAAGACTTAAACTATATCTGTGTAGCCTATAATCTCAGCACGTTAACCACTACTCTGCACTTTTACGAAATACCTTGGGTCAGAGGCCAATGTTAATTTCAAGGAAAGCCATGTGATATTAAAAAAATGCTTGGCCATCCTTGAAATTCTCATCTTCTCTGTGACCCAAAGGCACTTGTGGTATTACGACATAGTGGTTAACGCATCAAGATTGTACGCTGCACTGTCATGGTACGAGACCCACTGGCAGCGTTAATAAGAGCTAGGTAGGGTCAAAACTGCAGCCCAACCTGAGTAAGAATACTCTTTGGGAAAACAAGGCTATTTTTAATTTAATGGATACGTAAGGTCTACTTATATTGTTAGAACATTAAAATACCAGTCCTCTTATCACCCTGAACGATATTTGATGTGTACATAAGATATAGATGGTCTATCGGTAGTCTCGAAAGCCTACTTGCATACCAAAAATACAGGTTTTGTTCTATTTTATCTTTTTCTTAATATCCCCCAAAGTTTTACTCTTAAATTCATTTGCTTGGCCTTTTAATTAATATATATTTTCCTAGACGAAGGTCTATAGGAACACGGAATGGATAAGTCCTTAGTTCTGGGGCCCACAAATCAGAATTGTTGCATTCTCTGGCCTTCAGCAAGCGAAGTAACAATAAAAAGAATTTAGATCTTCATATAGTATTTTGTTGTGGAAAAATTAAACTTTAACCCAGATTAAAAGCTCTTTATTTACATCATCGCCTATGGCGAAATGTGATTCGCAGCATTTTCTGGTTGAAAAAAAAAATTTTTGAGCTCAATATAGTTTTTTTGAATTGAAACGAATGTGTGTTTTATTCAATCTCAGGTCATATAAATAAATGATTATTATATCAGAGGGTGTACAAAAAAATTGTATTATTTCAAATAAAGCTTTTTATTTTCTAAAGAGATGAAGAAGCTACCAATTTGAAGTTAAAATGAGCGGATTTAGGTTTTGCCTCAAGTGAGCTAAGGGCTGATAACTCACTATACATAGTTACAGGCAAAGGGCTGGAGTAAGGAGATGGTAAGTTTAAGATTAATGATTATAGAACATCACAACTGTGTCTCTCTATCTTCATCTTCGAATACAATTTCAATTTCCGAGTTCTCCATTTGTATTAAGGCCTCTTTCGACGGTACTTCATCAAGCTGGTGTGGGTCGTAACCCTGCTTTCGACTGTTAATGAAAAGATCACCTCTTATACACACAGCCATCATATTGGCAATTATGGTGAGAAAGAGAAGAACGCTCCACTGGAACATGAGGAAGAGTCAAAGCCGAAGAGGTAAAAAGTAGAGATAGACATTTAACTATTTTCACATTTTTCATTAGGAGAAAATTTTAAATTCTTTATCTTGAGATGAAACTAACCTTTATTAATTAGGATAAATTCAACGAATAAGCCATTAACTATATTTATAGACATTATGAAATAAATCAAAAGTTAGTTCTTATTAGTCGATCACCTTAGGATTTTTTAGCCTCCATTTCTTTACGAATATGCCTATTTAATTTCATCGTGTTTGCCGAATTAAAATATTTACAAATAAAATGGAGAAAACAAGGAAACGGCTATATCAGCAATAATGGGACCCTTGGATCAAGGAAAAATCCTTAATAAGAGGAAAAGGGATCGCAAAGAAGAAACGGATATCGAATTTTCAGAAATCAAGTTCAAGAAACTACTACAAATTTTGGGGCTTGGCTATCACAGACCTAGGTAGACGAGTTATCACAACTGTCACAGAAATTCGGCAATATACCCCGTGACTAAAATTCCACTCGAGCTGCAGCGGGCGACCAGATATAGAAATTGAGAGTTTTTCAAAGTACACTCGTTAAATCAGGGAGATAAAAAGTGGAGACAATGTATGGTATCTGCAAGCATGGAATTTAATGCCTAAGCGCCCCGCTAGGTGAGGCGGCAATCTAGGTTCTACGTAAGGCTTGATAAATAGCCCCTGAAATCAAAGTATTCTTGGGCTGAAACCGAGGTAATTCAGTCAACTAGAAAGATAAGAAATGTCTCTACGGGCCCATGAGGAACATCCATATTGGAGGCCTTCGTCGAAGCAGCAAATAAAATAGGATAGGGGCAAGATAGACAGTAGGCGTGATGACGCCATATTAAATTTCCCAAAAAAGGCATATTCTAAACGAATCAAATATAAACTAGTCAGAAATTGTAATAGGACAGGAGTAAGATAGGAGGGTTTGGAGTAGGCAGATGTATCAAGAAAGAAAGATGAGTAATAGCATATCCGTTGGCCAAAGGCCTGTAAAGGATTGACTCCACTTGCCTCTTTGACGAGTCTTAGCTTAATGCTGGAATGTACCAAGTCCGAGTTTGAACGTTAAGGATTATTATAAATACTACAGGAAAGAACTCTGGGCAAAGTTCGCTTAACAACGTGACCCTGACAACACGACTAATTTGAGTAATCGAGGTCAGGCCACTGGTAAAAATCTTATTGACCTATTGAGCAGCACATGAGGCAAAATTTCATGCCTTCACGGCATAATTTTTACCCTAACATCATGAACTTAGGCCTGTAGATTAGTTAAAACTAAGAAAGCAACTCTGAAGAGTTAAAGATTGAGCTAAACTCTAATTCATTCGAAAAGTGGACGAGTACTTACCTGCTTTAAAAATGTACACTCACAGCTTATTTTTAAGGGTGAAATATGCAAGCTAACCACAGCATGATTCAACAATGCTATTGAAAATATGACTGCAGTGACCTTACATGATTCAGGCCACACGCCTTGGTGGGTAGCGGTTTTTGTCTTTTACGCTTAACGCGGGAAGCATCAATGGAACAATATTTCATCCAGCATTTTCAGGAATATACCATTTACTTTGCCTGAAGCGCAAATATCAGTGAAATAATGATGTTGACGTATAAAGCTGTTGGAAGTAAGATGATGCATGGGTAGATAATTGAAAGAAGGACTATAAAGCCAAGTAAATAATTCGTCTGTGTCAAACACAATAGTTTATTTCATACACTTTACCCTTTATTTTTATCAGAGGTAATGTATCTAGCTATAGACTATGGTCGGCATTCGATTTTGTCAAAGAAGTCATCATCAAAGCAAGCTTTTAGGCTGTCACCAGATAATATTATCCATCGCCTATAATATAAATTACATTGCTCTATTAATAGTATGTTTTTCATTCAATAAATTTTGCTTTATAAATAGTAAGCTGCATTTAAGGTTCTTATTTTAGTAAAGTTGAACCACTTAAGAGAAAGGCAGAAAAGCACTGACATTCATAGCTAGTATTCATCAACAATGTAAATAGAACTTAAATAAGGACTTTATTTATATTGATAGTTAGGGGTGATTGGAAGGCGTTTAATGGAATCTCCCACTATTAGCTTCACCTATTATTGACCCTTTAAGTTTCAATTATTCACAATGGATTACACTTTCGACTTCACATCATCTTCATCAGCACCCCAACAGTATTCGTAACTGAGTCATGTGTGTGGAGAGGCGACAAATTGCCCTTACGCCATGCAGTAACGAGGCTGCGAGTGGGTTGCAAGGCAGGTGTGACTTCTATTATGGGAATTCAAACTATCAGTTCTTTCGTCACCTGAGGCCACATAGAACGACTAAAATCCTTATTCAATATCTGTTGCTAGTATAGAAACATACTCATTTGTCGTATATAAGTAGAGTTTCGAGACTACCAGTAAATCATTTATATGAGATGTATTCACTCTATTTCGTTTAAGCTGATTAATAACTGCTAGTAGAATTTTACATTTCACATAGCCTTGCTTTCCCAAAAGTTGTTGGCATCAAGGGTGAACTTCAGTTTCGATCTCGCATAAGTCTTATCAACACACCCTGCGGGAATCGAACCGGGACAGTGCAGTATGCGAGCTTGACATGTTTGCCACTCAGACACATTGCACAAGTGTTCTTTGGTAGCAGGGCAGATGTAAATTTCAAGGAAGGCCAGGCCTTATCATATATCACATTCTTTGGTGGGATTGTCGATAAAGCAAACGTATTTTTGCTATAGCCATCGACTTCATTACTTATTTTTCGTATGTAAGTAGAGTTTTGAGACTACCAGTAAATCAATTATGTGAGGGTGAATACATCACATGTTGAGGGTTGACCTTTCCTTTAGGACTGCACGAAAGTTCAATTTCCCTAGTATTGGCGGTAGCTTCCAAGCTAATTTTTAGGAGGGTAGATACATACATAGTTTTTCCACTGCTCCTCTTGCTTCCTATCATCATACACCGGAGTATTCCAATCCTCATCCCATAAGTATGGTTGAACTGGAAGTTTACTGTGATTTCAGCACGCGATTTCTTTCTGAAATTTTTTTTTCGGAGTGAATGATGTCCATATCCAAGAACTGTAAGTGCCCTTTCCCTTCCACATCCGTGGTAAATTTGACTTTTACATCCATTTCGTTTATGAAGATCAGAAAATCGTCTAATTTTTCTCTTCCATGCGACCATATATATCTATAAACCTATTATCTGATTAAATTACTTCCTCAAGAACCCTACAACCATTATTACTGGAAATTTTATGCATCCTTATGGATAAAGGGAGTTTAATAAACGGCCAACAAAGTAGCACCCGAGATATAATGGTTTCAGAAAATATTATGAAAAATCAGATAGAATGTGAAATGATTATTTATCCATAGTTTTGGTTGATAATGCCATTCTACCGATTACTTTGCCATTCCCTATTACAATCTTTACGTGCAATAATGCAGAATATGCTAAGTGGTACTTAATATGTGAGTGATTTGGTGAGAGGACAAGGCTAAGAATAGCAAATATATAAGAATATGCGAAATTTACCTCGACTAATGTTGTCAACAGAGAATAGCTTGTCATA